GCCCGGCCGGCCGGGTGCAGCGTCAGCCAGTGCCACAGCCTGTACAGCTGCAGGGCAGCTGCAAATGTGGCAGGGTGTCCCACCGACCCCCTCGCAGGCAGCCCCAACCCTGGCAGCAGGCAGGGACTGGGAGCAGGCGCTGGGCATGGGGGATGCGGCAGGGAAAGGCACCAGACGCAGGGAAACCTGGCAGATTCTGGGTACCCAGGCTGACAGCCGTGTCAGAGGCTGGTGTGAGCAGGCAGGCTCATCATGCAGGATGAAACCAGTACTTCACGTTTTCCAGGGCAGAATGGGAAGAGTGCAAGGCACTTATCATGAGCTCACATGCAATTTAACCTATTTTAACTCCAGAACTGAGGAGATGGAAAGCCCTTCCCTGGGAAAAGACAATGCCCTTAGCCCTTGGTGGCTGGCAGAGGAAGCATGGAATAAATCCCTGTGTAGGCTGGACAGGCTCCCAGGTGGCAGGTAGCACCTGGGGAGTGGGCAGCATGCTGCCAGCTCCAGGCAGCTCAGCATAAATGTCCTGTTCTGCCCAGCCCACCACCCTTCCTCTTTCCCACCTACCAGAGTTGGCGTCATGAGACAGCAGCTCCTTGTCAGCTGGAGGGTCACCCCGTAGACATCCACGATTCTCTCAGCTTTTATCTGGTGCAAGAGGCAATCCAGGGAGATCAGCATTCCCATTTGGCTCACACCATTGCTGCAAGGGACAATGGAGGGTGAGGTGACTGATGCCACGCCAGGCTGAGCTGAACCTCTTTGGAAGTGGGCACCAGCCCAAGAAGTCAGAGGACCCATGAGAAAACATGCAGCAACTGAGTACGGTGGGGATAGGGGACTGTGAGCACTGGTCTAGGAGTTAGGAAGCCCTGTGCTGACCAGGGGGATGGGACCCCAAAGCGCCTGTTGAAGGAGCCTGGAGACCCAGCCCGCCCTGCCCTGCTGAGCTGTGCATCCCTCACCCAAGCCAGCTCTGCTGATGTGCTGGCTGTGTTGGCTCCTGTGGAACTTTGAGCTCTCCCTGGCTGCAAGCAGGTGAGGACATCAGGGCTGCTCCCAAGATCCTAGCAGTCAGCCGAGAGCTGGCCTGGGCACCTCAGCCCAGGAGTGCCTGCTCCATGCACACTGGCCCCTGGGCCAGCCCTGTTTGCCCTCCCTTCTCCCAAGCGCTTGGCAGAGCACTGCTTCACCTGACCTCCCAGGCTCAGAGCTTCCCTGGCTCCCACTGACCTACTCTCAACATGCCCCAAAGCCTTGGGGTCCTTGGTGGAGTGTACAGGCTTGTTGGTGGCCATGCCAAAGCACTGGTACCTGGTGGGTACCAGCTCTGTGAGGCTGCCCATGGATGGAGCAGTAACATGATGTACCTGCAGTGCAGCAGGAGAGGACCGGCTCTCTTCCGGTGGGGCATGCACCGCCTGACAGCAGTGAGGAGCTCTACCAGGCTCTGGACATCTGGCTGTTTCTTGCTGCTCCAGAGCGTGTATAGGAACCGTTGTACCTGCCTCTCCTTTGCTTTCTTCTCCTGGTGAGACAAAGAGTTGACATGGCTGTTGGGGAGGGATGGGTGAGTTTGGATGCAGAGGGGTCCCAGCTCTCCAATCCTGAGGCTGTCAGATATTTTCCCAAGTAACTAGCTTCTGTAAAGCTGTCCAGACAGTCTCTGCTGGGGCACTGCCCATCACCCATGCAGGGGTTGTGGTGCCTCTGGCAACCTGCTCTCCTTCCCCATGGCACCCCGACCTGCCTCGTGAGAGGGAGACTGATAACTGTGTGGGCCTTTTCACAGAGGGTCAGAAAAACCTATCAATCAGCAAGGGGTGGGGGAAGCCTCTAAGCCTCTCCTGTGCATCTCCTATGTTCACTCAGCAGATGTTCTTCTGGATGTCGCAATCTAGATTCCCTCCTGCATTTGTGGACTGCTGGCTCTCTGTTCTTGCAGCTCGAACAAGTCTCCATGGACCTTTCAGCCCTTGCCCCTACAGACCCGTTTGCTAGCAGTGAAGAACATCTCAGGCAGTCGGAGCCACACCAGCCCTGTCAACACATACATGTTTCATTTTGAGCTGGATACACCTCCATCCGGAGACAAGCTTCTCTGTGCCACACTGGATGGTCAACATCTTTGTGCAGAGAGAGTCTCCTTCCAGGGGCCAGCACGCCTCACTTGGGACCTGTGTGCAACAGCAAGTTTGGCTTCATGTTGATGGCTGCCATGTTTCAGATCAGTCACCATCACAGGGGTCTGTGATGGGATTGGACCAGAGCATCCCGAATATCACTGCATGTCATTTCCTCCCCTGGCTAAACCCTGGGAGAGTTTTCGGAAACAACAGCAGATTCCAGCCAGCTTCCCTGTTAACACAGAGCTGCTTGGGAATCAGAATCTGCTCAGCAAACACCCTCCACCTCAGATGGAGCTGCTGTCCTTGGGGACCATGGAGATGCAGCTTGAAGAGCACCAGCTGAGTCAAGGTCCATGGATCTCATGGTGGGCAGCCAGAACCTGTCTCCCATGACAAGCAGTGGGAGCACTTTGACACAGGAAAAGTTCAGCCTTAGCTAAGCTGGATTTGCACCCAGGTGTCAGGAGGCAGTGAGGAGAGTTCAAGTTTCAAAGCTATGCTAGCTTCCAGCTCCATTACACAGATCCCTGCTCTGCCATGGCACAGGCAGGCATGGTGCCTTACCTCCCCCTTCTCCTGCCATGGCAGAAGTGTTAGGATGGTGTGAACATCTTGTTCCCACACCAGGGTCCAGAAGTCCTCCATGGTCAACTTGTCAGGCCCCTGGACAGCCAGGTACTCCCTGTTGGAGCTGCAGCCCTGAGTGGGGAACAAGAACATCACTCTCCTGCTGGACAGGGTGGCACAGGTACCCCGTCAGCCCAGGTGGCTGCAGGAGAGGCCAGGCAAAGAAGGGAAGCTCAGCAGGTCAGGAGGCAAAGAGAGAGGACAAAGCACCGAGGGAAGGAAGTGAGGACAGCCCAAACTGGGCAGGTGAGGGAAGGCACATCCTCAATCCCCACAGTACCTCTTGTCCACACAAGATCACAGCAGCAGTGACCAGTGGAGCAGTGCAGGAACCAGCAGGGAGCAGGAGCATGGTGAGGAAAGGGGAGCATCACCTGCTGCCTGTGGGACCCAGGCATGGGGGTGGTCATTACTGCTGGAGGTAAGACTCACCGGGACATGCCACACCTGCAGGAGACCTGAGAAAGGGCCCTGTTCCAGCAGAGAAAACTTCACTCTGGAGCGATCGTCTGCAAAATACGTGGGAGATGGAGGGATCCAGGTCAGACTTGTGCTCACACAGCTCCTGCAGACCGACTGCGCAGCCACACAAATCCAACCCCCCCATTCACCATTTCTCTGTAAAGGTGCTCCCCTCTGCAGTGGTCTTGTTCAGCTCATGGATGTTGGTACCCTAAAGACAGGTCTCTATCCCAACCTCCTACTCAAAGCAGATACGTGTTGTGCAGGTTGCTCAGTGTCTTGGGCAATGGAGATCTGCATATCTCCAAGGATGGAGAGCCTGAAGATGCTCTGGGCTCCTGCTCCAGTGTTTGGCCACCTTCATGGGAACTCTTTTTTCCTCATACTGAGTTGGATTCTCTTCCAAATTATCCCCATTGCCTCTTGTCCTTCCATGGTGCATCTCTGAGAAGACTACATTTTCTCTGTGCCCTCCCAGCAGGTAACTGAAGATAGCAATAAGACCTCTCCTTTGCCTTCTCTCCTCTGAGCTGAACAAACCCACCTATGCTCAACGCAGGTACAGGATGGAAGAGGATGCAAGGTGTCACAGCACTTACATGGGAGGATGCTAGAAGAGGGTCGTGACTGCTGGTTGCCTGAAGATGGTGTTGCAGAGCTGGCTTCTTCCTTGACAACCTCTAGGAGGGTCTGCCAGAATGAAAGAGAGTGGAGGAAGCAGTAAGCAGGGAAGGGTCAGGAGGAGCAGGAGGAACTGGGGAGTCCTGAGGACATCTGGCCTTGGCAGAGGAGTGGTTATAGCTGCACATGCAGAAGCCTTAGCAGGGGTGCTATGTGACCACCTCTGGGGTGGGCTGCCAGGTCTGCTCCATGCTGTCAGGAGATGGCTGCATCTCTCTGTAGAGAATGGTGTTCAGATAGATCCCTACCCTGCATGGGGAAAGGAGGGGGTCATGGACAGACCCTGATGAGTGCAGGATGCGTGAGGGAGCTATGTGCCTGTGGACACCATGCCATGGAGAGGAAACACTGCCAGGACATCCAGGCACGTGGAAACTGGGGCATGGGACTCACTCAGGAGGCACTTCTTGGGTGTCCCCCAGCCTGACCAGGTGCAATTGCTCCCCAGGTCCCCCCAGTGCACACAGCCATGGCAGCACTCCCTGCACCCTGCCCAGGACAGCTCTCACCTCGTACTCCCTCAGGAAGCCCACATGGGACTTGGCCGCCTTCTGGGCGTAGTGCTGAGCAAAGCTTTTCAGTGGGATGGGGCAGGACCTGGGGAGAGAAACTGGGGGTAAGGGTGAGGTTGAGCAAACTCAGCAGCATCCAGGCTGCGTCTGCAGTAGGTGGACAGGCCTGTAGGCAGACCTTCGCCCCTCAAATGCTGGGGCCCTTGCAGGCCCCCAGCACAGCTTTGGCCCATGCCAACCTGCTCTCCCCTAGACAACAGCATGTCTTAGGTGTGGCAAAGCCCAGGGCCTGTTCCCAAGATGCAGCAAGGACAAGGGCATCCTGTTCTGCATGAGGGAGGACACAATTTGACCATAAAGAGTTATGTGACCTCCTGATGTAGCCTCAGAGACAACAATGTAGGTGGGCAAAGCCATGCCTAGCCTGACCCAGCTCCCTCCTCTTGGCCTCCATTAGAATGGACTTCCCAAGGCCATCCAGCTGCCATGAGCCCCTCCAGTTTGAACCCATCTCTAGGGCATCCCTGTGGGTTGGAAAATCAGGGGCTGATCAAAATGCCTTTCCCAGGACAGCTCTGCAGCTCTTTGGCATTGGTGTAGCCCCGGAGGCTGGCACTGCAGGAAAGGAAGATGTGGTGCCCCAAGCCCTCCCAGTGTGCCCAGTGGCTCATACCTAGTTCTGGGCTGGGCTCCCCATGCTGCAGGGAACAACCAGCCTTGGGCTGACCCCTCTCAAAACACTGGGTGGGACAGCTGGCTGGGCTTCCTCGTCCTTCTGTCCTGGAGCCAAGGCTCAAGCTAGGGTCAGGGTCCCTGGTGGGTAGAGTGGCAGGTAAAATGCAGCAGGTTCTTACCTCTCAGTTCCCGATAAACCCAGGAGTGGTTCCTCCAAGATCTTGTCCAGGATACAGCTGTGCAGGAAAATATACTGGGACTGGAAGGCAAAGGCAGACAGCAATGTAGAGCTTTGTACCACGCAGGCAGCATGAAAGGGTGGGAATGGCACTGCATAGTGGGCAGAGGATGTCTTACATTCATGCCCCAGAAGTCCTACATTCATCCCCAAAAGGTCCTGGCTACTTCAATCTCAGAGCCCCTGTATTCCTCCACTGGGTGAGTCTGTCTGTGCTGAAGGGTAGTACTGACACTTTGTCCCAACCCCGAGTACTAGCAATATTAGATTGCCTGTGGAGCATCACAGGCCAACAACACGGTGTGGGTTAAGAATTGCCTGCAAAGGGCCTGATCCTGTTCCTAGGTGCTCGCTCTGGGGTGTTGCTGAGCCTCCTGGGAGGGCTCTGAGACTGTATATGTTGCTGCTGAGGGTCTGGCAGGGTATGACCTGCTGGAGACCCCCACAGAAGAGCAATTTCCACTCCAGCTGAGCTGGTGCTTGGAGTGGCACTGTGACGCAGTGTCAGGTTGGGGACCAGCCTGGGGGTGCTGGGGCTGGCTGGCCAGCTCATCTGTTTGCCAGCCCGGCTAGCTTTTATGCCATGGAGCAAGGGGCTGGGGGGAAGAGGGAGCAGAGGTCTTACCAGGGTCTGAATCATCAGGTAACGGTTCATCCGCAAGGTGTAAACAACACCAAAAGTGTCCACCACCTTCTCCTGCTTCATCTGCTGCAGCAGCCGGTCCAGGGCAATGAAGGTGCCAGTGCGGCCCACCCCGGCGCTGAGAGCACAGGCAGCAAGGGTTAAACACTGCGTGACCCCACAGCCATGGGCTCCCCTCCTGCTGCTAGACATGGCTCCCAGCACCCTGGGGCACTGGTCCCAGCACAGCATGGGGCTGAGGAGCCTTCACACTTCCCTGGGTTGGTGCTGACCATCTCCAGCCACCCTGGCCCCTGGGATTGGGGGGCAGGCAGCAAGCAGACCTGTAATCCCCAGCAGCCAAGCAGGAGACTCTCTACAGACCAGCTGTGTCTCCTGGGCACTGCTTTCCCTCCCAGTTTGTGTATGAGGAGGACCCTTGCCTCCCTTGCCCTCTCCCATTGTTCCCTCCTGCCACCCCCCGGAGCAGAGCCTCACCTGCAGTGCACAAGGGTCGGCCCCGCGTCCTTGGTGCTCTGGATGTGCTCCCGCACCAGCTCTCTGAAGGTCATAATAGAAGTCGTGGACTCCGGGATCCCATGGTCAGGCCACGCCGTGTAGTGCAGGTGGGACACGTGCCGCTCTGCCCGGAGACCTTCCTGCCAGGGAGGATGTTGGTGATCAGCATACAGCCCGCCAGGACAGGGGCATGCATGCACCCCACAGCCCTGGGAGCACCCAGGGACTTGGGGACACCCGACTCAGCTGCAAGGAAGAGCCAACGTCAGGTCTGCTGCACTGCCTGGTGGCTCCTGCTCTCCTGTCCTCCCCCACGGTCCCCTGCCATGGGGAGGCACGTGGAGGTGGCAAGGAGGAGACCTGCCTTTGACTGCCAGGGAACGTGCCCTTGAAGCTGCAGGCTGTGTCCCAGTGCAGGGACATGGAAAGAAGAGAGCAAGGGTGGACAGCAAGGGTGATACACGTTGACAGTGACTGATTGCTCTGCAGGGGATTGGGTCTTTGAACCCCGCTAATGGCAGGGAAAGGAAATTATACCACCATCACCAAGGAGAAACACCACTGCATCCCATGCAAACTCCCAGCCCTTGGCAGGTCCCTAGCCCATCCTCTTGGGTCCTCACTCACGTGCCACAGTTTGAACTCGCGCATGGTCCACTCCTCGGAGCTGCTCTGCGTCAGCAGGTGGACCCGGACCTGCCCGTAGGAGACTGGGGCACATTCAGATGGCCAGTAGTGATCACAGAGGACCTAGAACACAGGAAAGACGGGGTCCCAGTGAGGCCAGTGAGGGCCCAGGTCCCACTGGGTGACCTCCTGGGTCCCTGGGAGCATCTGGAGAGCAGCAGCTGTGTGGGGAGCAGGCAGGGATGCTTCCCTGGCCCACCAGGAGCTTTGTATGGCACTCCCCCACCTCCCCTTTGTTTGGATCTCAGCCTCCTCCAGAGAAAAGGACCTGTGTGGGTCTCATCATCCCTGGAGACTGGAGGAACAGCCTGTGTGACATGTCTCATCCAGAGGCAAGTGGTAATTTCAGACAGTGCAGAAACATCTGAGGGTAATGGGCATGGCTCCAGCTAAGCTCCACTTCTGGTCCTTCCTACCCCAAGCTAACACTGAGCTGCACATCAGCCTCTGTTCCCTCTCAGATGGCCTGTTGGGGAAGCTGTGTGGCCTGTGCTCACCCTGGAGGCACATCTGAGCAGGGGTTGGCGGAGGACACAAACCCAGCCCTGGGCTCAGCTCACACGACCACATCTGGGCTTGGATGGGGCTGGCACATAGAAGCCCAGTAGTGCCGACTTACCCGCCCGTTCTCCATGCACACTGTCAGCATGATGATGTTGCAGACGTTCTGCTCCCACACCAGCCTCCAGAAGTCCTCTATTGTTTTCTTCAGGGGCCCCTGGGTGGCAATGAACTCCTGCTGGGATGTGTAGCCCTGAGCAAGAGGCAGACAGGAGTTGGCAAATTGCTGAGGCAGGTGGATCCTGCCCTGAGACAGAGTCAGTGCCTGATCTGCTTTTGTGGTAGACGGAGAAATGCCCGTTGCCCTTAGCCCATGCGGACACAGTTCCCAGGCAGCTGATCTCAGAAGCAGCTAATTTCACAGGAAGCATGTGCTGCCCAACACATGCTCTCTACACATTTAGAATAAAGACGTGACCCCTGCCGTTTCCCTCCAAGTAGTTCCTCATTGAGCCTAACCAGGGGAAGACAGATCTGGGTCTTGTGCTCCCCAGTCATTGCTGGAGGTAGGGTGAGCATGCAAGGTCTCAGGCTGCTTCTTTGCCCCTTTGACACACACATGCCCCGCGGATCCACACAACCGCGCGTGCATGCTGTGTGTGCCCTGCCTGTTACCTGGGAAAATCTCCCGGATGGGGGATGTGGGCACAGCTCCAGGGTTGTTCAAATGCAGCTGCACAGACCAGAAGGAGAAAGAGCAGACAGACAGACAGGGCAGTAAGCTGGGAGAGGATGGGAAGAGGGTAGTCCTCAAGAAGAAAGCAGGAAGCCTTGCCAGTCTCCCCACACTCATACCTCCACATTCAGAGCACTTGCGTCTGACAATCTCCATCAATCCCTGCTAAAAGGGCAACTATGCCTCTCCACCTGACCCCCAACTCCTTGCCAGTCTGTGCCAGCTGTGACTTCAGTGGCAGCTCTTGCCTACCAGCCCTCACAACCTCAATCCAGGCTGAGTTTCTCTGACGGTGCCCCGTGGCCACGTCTCTGTGCAGAAGGCAAGTGAGCACTCACAGGCATGAAGTTGGCATTGATGTAGTCTGAGTGTGGATCCTCCCCCAGCTGGCTCAGTTTGACCCGAGAGTGATCATCTGAAAAAGACCATACACACATGGTCCTGCAAGGCAGCCCTTCACCAAGACATGGTGTCCTGGTTTTGGCAGGGATAGACTTAATTTTCTTTCTAGCAGCTGGTACAATGCTGTGATTTTGATTTAGGATGAGGATAATGTTGATCACACACTGATGTTTTAGCTGTTGCCAAGCAGTCAAGGACTTTTCAGCTGCTCATCCTGCCCTGCCAACGGGAAGGGGGGGGGCGGAGCAAGAAGCTGGGAGGGGACACAGCCAGGGCAGCTGACCCAAACTGGCTAAAGGGATATTCCATACCATACAACATCCCATACAACATCATGTTCTGTATATAACTAGGGAGTGGGCCAGAAGGAGGGGCAGGTCAGGGTCTTGTGGAGCATCGACTTCGGGTGATGAGAAATTGTGCTGTTCATC